CGCGAACCTTGATTTCGAATTTTTCATCTTTCATTCCATTTAGGCATAATAAGATACAAATTCAACGGTATAATAAGATATCGCGTGAAACTTAAAAGTTGTTACTCGATTGTTCGTTTGGAACGAGATATCGATAGCGTGTCCGGTAATTCTATGCGAGAATCAGGTCCCCTGAGAACGATTAACAAACTTCGTTTCTTGTAAAAACTTGTTGCTCCACGTCGAACGGTGTATGTTAATTACGACATGCAACACGCGTCGCTCTCTGGTCTATTTGTTATTTTAATCCTGGTACGAATTATATCCGATGAAAGGCTGTTATTGCATGTTACGGTACTTAGAACGTGATCCTTTTAAAGTCGAGGACGAACATCTTGCTACTCTTGCTGGTACAGCGAGCATAAAGGCGGTCTTGTATTATGATCGTCGACGATGTTATTGGTAGCCTCGATGTGTGATTTAAAGGTTTCCTCGGCGGGAATGGTGTCATTTGCATATACCTACGTATTCGTAGGATCTTCGAGGACCCTTGCATTAATGCGATACGTTGCTTTCGTTCTTGACAGTTCTTTTCTGGCCTTAGGTAAATAGTCGGTATGAATATGTATGGGGTGTCTTCGATGACCCCTCCGAACCTAAAAACCTATACGGTTGCGAATATCGCAGGTTTGCTTAGAAACACATTTTGCTTTTACTCGATACAGACGATAACGCTATTTAATCATCGTTATCGTTGCTCTTCTTTTTTACGGATTTTTTCGAACGCTGATATTGGTATTTCTTTATGTACATTGAAAGATCGAACCGTTCATAAACCATGTTGAAGATAGATAGAGAAAACTGATAGTATAAGAAATATTATTTTTAGAATTTATCTTTGGAACACACGATACTTTATGTTATTCTCTTGTGCTAAAAAAAAAAATCGAGGAAGTAAGATATCCATTCTCTGAGAAACTTAACGCGCATTATATCTAGGTAAAGATGAAAAACCTACAAAATGTCGTAATCAAATTTTATCAAATGTCGTAACATTTTACATGAACAAAAATGGTGCTTAAAATTTTCTTCTTCTCAATTTTTGCCCACCTCGATCATCGATTTACTCCGTTCATATTCCTAATTTCCGTCGATCGTATAAACACGTGTTTCGCGGATATCCTATTAGCAGTCTAGTGGACCGTGTTGCTGCTAATTGCATTGTCGACTAAACACCTGTAAAATCCGCGAATTTCAGCGAAATTATTCGAGGGCCAATAACTGTTCGGCATATCCTACCCCGAAAACCGTCTTCATTAATTTCCACTACTGTCTGCTCGACACCAATCAACTAGCGAATAAAACGTGCGCAAGGGTCCTCGCCTAATTGGAACAGCGAAAAAGTGGGCGTGTACCGATCAAGGACCTCCATCGTTTCGGGACCTCTGGAAATTCTCGTCGATCGTTCAGCCAGACCAATTTTATACGTCACCCTTTCCTTTCCCAACTTCGTGTCCCAATCGACACGGTTCATTGGTCGGCGAACATATCCGTGTCTAACTTTTTTCTCGTTTCTCGACGAACGTTGAATCAAGCTCTATCGACACCTTCCCTCTTTCCAGCCATAGGAGAAGAAAATTAGCCACGATGCCTAAGAGTTATTCCAACCACGTGAATTATGCGAGATTCTTATCGACGTAATTACCGGCGTTCTTCGAGGAATCTAGGAATCTTGGAGCGTCGAGGAAGCAACGGAAACCGCGGGAATTCGCGTCAGCGTGTAAACGACACGCTCTTCTCGCCAACGAATCCTTTAATCGTCGATCCTTGACCCGCGTTTCATCACGTTAGGAGAGGGGAGATCCACGCGTGCATGGTATTATCCTAGCGAGGTGAACACCGAGCAAGGAACGTTTCGCAAACCGTTCAACGTCGTCGCGTGGAAGACGGGACAAAGAGTCGGTGAGAAACGTCGAGGAAACTATACCCACGTGTGTTAGAATGTGTGCGCTAGA